GCCTAAAGACGCAATGTTTTTTCTGCCAGTTTTGCTTAAGTCGCCTAAAGTCGCCTTAAGTTCCGGCGACTTAAGGTCCCAGAGTAGGCCTGCGTCTGGTAACACGCCGAGAATTCTTGCAAAACCAACAGTCCTAACAGCTAAATCGCAGAAGTTTGAAGACAAATGAGAATATTTGCAATTCCAAAACGTACAGACTACGAATATATGCCGAACTTCGTATCGCACATATTACGTAATTTCAGTGAAAAGACCAGATAGGCTACACAACCGCACTGGAGCAGAATCAAAACGAAACCTACCTTTGGTATCGGACTCTCAGAGTTTGGGAGCAGACTGGTTGCGCGCTAATACATCTTTAAGCAGTATAGTCACTATATGCATCTCCAATAAAGCACTCTGTTGGTAATAATGGTCTGCAACTATACCGCTAAAATACAGTTTGGAATGCAATTAGTTGTTCGGCGCCAAGTGGTTATCAGTCGGATTGGATTAGTTGGGTTCAGTGATTTTCAAAGAAATTTTCGTCTCGGTTCAAAACTCGCTCCCCTGACAGGCTTGTAGACTTGCAAAAGAAAGCCGATTTCCTGCCTGAGTGCGTGTTCTTTATTTATTTATGTTCTGCAGACTCTATCCAAATCATGATTATCCCTCGAGGGTATTGTACACATAAGACATATTTGCTTCAAAAATAAACAATCAAATAAAACTGTTTAAAATTTCTTATATGCTTCATGAACAGTAGCCTGCGTCACAGATGCAACGTAGCGCGGGTATATTTCCGTCTGCGACGCAGGCTACATGAACAGGTCAACAATCAGCAATCGTGAGCGATTTTGCAGTTTTACCCCCAAATTGCATCGCATCAATGTTGGTCTCTGTTTCTCTTGTTATCTCAGTGACACTACAGATCATGTAAGAAAGATGTAAAGCTTACATTATTATTCTTGTCTACACGCACCGTCGTGTTTATCTTTTAAGCTTATATAAATAACTGTGAGACCGGTAGGCTTAAGCGTACACCTTCCCGCAGAGCTGAGTACAGTTTTGAGCGTATGCGCAAGGTTTCGATTCGATTCGATTCGATTATCCCTAATATTTTTACAATGTTTTTCAAGTGCATTGTGTGCGGTAATTGAATCGAGATTGAGAAGGGATTTTCATCTCCGGTTGCGGCCACATCTCATAAGCGACCAGTTTTCCAAAATACCAAAAGTTTCCATGTCAAATCACTCCATTTCACACCTATTGTGAGCGACCACCTGTTGTAAGTGCCTGCAACCACTTTTAGAGCAAAAAATTTGTAATCTTTTGTTTTGAACCTCCTGTAAGTGACAACCTGACAGAAAACATTTGGAAAAAATGGGATAATAAGGTGTTATTTTGATCAACTTATGTACATGTAGGTAGTTTATCAGAAGCGAAGCAAGACACTCTGAATAAATACTTTGGAATTAAATATTTTTGTGGCTACTAAAATTACATGGGTTTACATGTAGATGGGCATTCGCGCATGGGGTACATGTAAGTCCTTACTGTTACCATAAGCTGACGAGGCAAAATGTTGACCCAACATGGTCTAAGCTCTCGTAAGAGACCACCTCCAGTAAACAACCATCTAGGCTTCACTCTTTGGGTGGTCTCTTATGGGAAGTTTTGACTGTACGTCAAGTTAACAAATACAGTCAAACCAATATTACGCGGCCACTTATTAAACGACCACCCACTTTGGGCGACCAGTTATCAAAGTTCCAATGGGGACTTTTCTATTGTTTTTACCTCTATTAAGCGGACAGCCTCCTTTAAGCGGCCACTATCCATTTCCCCGAGGGTTGCTGTTTAATAGGGGTTAAAATGTAGTTGTTGTGCGTCTGTTCAGCTCACAGAAATTGAAGACATGACAGGTCAGTAATTATAATCACGCCAAATGTGGTAAGAGAAAAACGTGGCACACAAGCTGATAGCCTAGTATGTCACTGAATACATGTTCTTACCACATTTTGTCATGTCTTATGTGATCAATTACTGAACAGATGCGCAGCAACATGGAATCCATCTGTTTTGTATAATAAAGCAACCGCAAAAAATTGTGGTTTCATCTATACAATATAGGTCTGTCCTTACTACTGTGATCAAAAGTAAGAATCGATTGGAATGTGAGAATAACTTGAAAGATGATTTGTGAGGTCACTTAACAATATTCCTCAGCCAAACCATTATAATAATAGTATTGCTGTAAATTAAAATGTACCTTGCTCCTTGATATTCATATGCAAGATATTCAGTAGTAACCTAGACAACTATTGTAAATAAAGTACTATACATATACATTTGGTCTTCCTGATACTGATTTAGAAAATAATGGATTGTGAGACTGGCCATCTGCACCGTTAAGTAGTTTGACAGTACATCAGGCTCTTGTCATTGTGATTTACATGCATCTTGTTTTGTTACGAATGTTGGGTATTTATGTAGTAGTGATAACAGTCCTTTCTTTCTTTCTTTCTTTCTTTCTTTCTTTCATCAGTATGGATAAAATAACATCACAAGAAATGTGGCAATACTATCAAGCTTCAGGAGAAAAAGAAAAAAAAATCAAGCTTCAGGAGGCTATTCAATTGTTATAAATGTATATTATATTTATGTATGTGTATGGAGCACTGCCGAGATTAACTCCTTTTTATTTGATAACACTACATGTGTCAGAATAGCTGGGAATAAATCATTTATAATATAATGAATGTTTGTTGGTTAAGCATTAAGAGAGCTCCATTTGAGTCACACAAATTTTTATTCAGATTAACTAATTTTATACATATTAATATTACATAGCAATTGATTTTATGCACTGTATCTACATGTACAATCTGGAAGCATTTTTAATTTATAGGGGAAACTCTTAAATATGGAGAGCAAAGGGCCAGAACCGAGTGTCCACATTATGAAGGTGTCCATATTAGACTCTGAGGTACAGATTACTATAATTCTGGTTTTTATGTGACCAAATAAGCTCTCCTTATTGTATAGGTGTCTATACTGAGAGGTTAAACAGTGTTTACAGTTATCCAAACATTTTTTGCACCTGTTTCTGACCCACAGGTAGTTACAACCACTATTTTGACCCCTTTTTGAATTGTCAAACAGACCTTGTAAGAGCCCCTTTGCACGATCCAGTCACATGGTACAAAATCACACATGCTGGGACGCAGGTTGCACAGTGGGACTTCCAAAACAAAGGCAGGCCAAGGTGGACTGGAACGAGTTGCTTTGTTTTGGAAGTCCGACTGTGTAACTTGCACCCTAGCTTGCCTGTGACCGGATCCTGGAAAGGACCTATTAAAAGCTCTCATAAGGATCTTCTCCCTTAGCAACCACGACCACCTGTGGGAAGTATCTGTGCTAATCTAATTGCTTTTAAATCATTTTTAAGCTCTCGCAAGCAGCCATTAAAGGGGTGTGCAATATTTTCATCATCCAAATGAGAGATTTGCAGTTTTCAATCTGAAACTTTTACATGTAGTTTCCTTACCTGTTAATCCGAGAATCTCTTCCGTGTACGTGTATCAAAGGCAATTATTTTTAGATTATATACAACTGCTGAGAATACCAGAAATGAACATTTACATGCCCTCGGATTTTAATGCTAAAAGCTAGCACGGGTGAATGACCATTTACATGTGCATGTCCCAGGCTTTATGCTAAAAGTTCACATAGGAGACCAGTTTATATTGTTTCAATTCCTGTTTGTTTGTAAGAGCTCTTTTTTGAATTCTAGAGATGGCTGCAGGGAGAGCTTTGACCGTATTATTGATCGCTGATATTGCAGATTGAATTTTTTTATTGCTGTCATACATATATCTAGAGACAAGTGTTTTAAATCAGTTATTATTAATACTGTATCATTAACAACAGTAGTATTAGTAATCGTTTTGTACAATAGCGTAAAAAGTGGACTTACTAGTTTAATGTATTTCTCCAAAGCAGTTTTCATTTGAGTGTCGAATTAAGTAATCAGACAAGTACTTTGGTTTTGGTTTGACCATGGTTTTAGATTAGCCGATAAGTAATAAGTTCTGTTTTAATTTTACAACACTCAATTGAAAACCAGTCTAATACACCTTAACTGATGGAGAGATATTACCAAATTACACTTATGCTAATTGACCTAAGAATATCTCAGGAACCAAAAATTCTCTGAGGGTTCAAAAGGTCACATAACCAGTTTGATCCAGTTTGTTTGAATTTGTATCTTCTTTTCTAAGGTCCTTTTATTGTTATCATAATGTTGATATGTGCAGCGTAAATCTCAATAGTTAGTCGACATAGCTTTGAACTTCAGAATTTATTGGTTATTGAGAGGCACAGAGGTTATTATATTTTGTGTGTACCTGCCACAATCCTTAGTTTGCTGTTCACAAAGCTCTCTTTGTAATAAGTGTCATAAGGTAATGTTATGATTCTCAATACCGTCCTATTTTACATGTTGATTTTACAGACATTATATGTGTGCTTTTGTTTAACCGGTTGTGTACAGGTAGTTTATTTGTGTACATTATACTAAGATTTTATGCAATGTATTGTTCCCTTTTTACAGAGATTTTATTGAGATTATGTATTATGGCTTTCGCACCCTTTCCTTTTGTACAGGCTGATTCTACAGACAAAATGCGGATATTTTGCAGAGATTTTACCAATAAAATGCTTACATTTTACAGAAATTATGTGCAATTTTGTGTGACATTATGTGTAGTTTAGTTGTGTAGATTTTACCAACATTTTATGATATTATTTTCATTCAAATTTGACAGACATAATATGGAGATTTCAATGTTTTGGATTTTACAGAGATTTTTTCCCCTGCCCTTTTTACAAAGAATTTTTGGAGTTTTTTTTTTCAGAGATTTCTTGATATGCTATAAAATCTCTGTAAATTTTACAAATCATTTACAAGAAAAACAGCAACATTTCATTGACATTTTATGCGATCTGAAAGCAGAGAGAGAGACTGCAAATCTCTGTAAATGTGTAAATTTACAGAGACTGTAATTTACAAAGGAAATGGGAACATTTTACAGAGACTTAACGAACTTTCTTGAAGTCTGTAAATGGTTCAACTTTTCCAGTGTTGTACGCCCTTGGGACTGGCTGTATAGGCTTTTTGTACATGTGAAAATAAAGCGCATAGATTTCAACAATGAGCTTTATGGAATAAGATTCTCGTGTTACATGTAATGATATAGTCTACAGTGCTATCTCCAGAAAGTTCTCAGCCAGGTCTTCACGCTTCATATGACGTAATGCATCATACAGCATCTCGTATGCTGCATCTGAAGCATTTCTCTGTTTCCATCTAAACAGCATGCTTAGTATCTTTTCAGCCTGTTCGTCAGAATCCTTGTCGATTCCAGCTATGACAGCCTCAGGGAGTCTCAGACTACGTGCAAGTTTCTTCCACTCACCAACTTTAACCATACTTGCCAACCACAGCAGCTCGTGATCAGAAGGTGAACCTTTCTTCCAAACTGAAATGAAGGAAAACTTAGTCAGTTGCTTACAGTGTAGAACAAAGTCATGTACATTTTACTATGGTAATGTAGGTTCTGCTGCGGCCATTAAAATGCCCCAATCCTTCGACCATTAATGAAAAGCCTTTAATGGAGAAACTGAAGTATTTTATTGCTTTAAAAAATACTGACGAATCTGTTGTTAAAAATGAACATTTTCAATTAACGACTCTTTCTGACCTGGCAGACGGAACTATAGCACAATGGCTTCTATGTCGCGTTTACCTTCTTGCTAGGTATCACGTCTGTTCTAAGTATGGTCTATGGACTTTGGGTAATGGCATTTCTCTGAGGGCACATGTGTATTCCTCGCATAATAATGGTCTGATAACAAGCGAAGACCCCCATCATAACGATCTGAACTACACGTTCCACACACACGTGAATAAAGAATTTCCACCAAAAACTGTTTATCTGGCGTTTCTTCTTGTCGTTATCTTTCTCTGTTTGTATCTGTGGTAAGACCTTGGCACTGTAGACAATATTTAAGAGCCAAAGAAAACCAATAGCAGAAGTCGCTACATAAGAAAAGGTCAAAGGTGTCAACACAGGGCTCACAGTAGAGGTATAGTTGTCAAAACAGCGTTGTAGGGTAACGTCATCTGGCTTGGGGGTACACTTGAATTCCAGTCTATCCCTGCCAAGACAACTGTTAAGTGATAGAATTACCACTTCCCAGGAGATCAGGAACACAAAGAAACGAATGCGTCCTAACACAGTTTGATACTTGAGAATATATTCAGACAGAGTACCCATTCCACTGAATGATGAACACCTTTTAAATAGCAAGGAGACAAACAAATGGTAAATTCCAAAATTAATCGACACAAGATTTAATTAGGAAATGAAATCTTCGATTTGAAGAATTAAGCTATCTAGCTGTGTAAAAGACTAATCTGCAACAGGTAGTAAAGAGGCTTGAGTGTTATTCAGTACTTTCATTATGCAATACAATTGAATTCAATACAGCACTAATGTGGCTCTACTGCAAAGTTAAGCACAATCAAATACAAAACTGTTGATCCTTGTTTATTATCCGAAATGAAAAGGTTATAAAGGGTTCGTTACTGCCGGAGTGCAGTTTGGGTTCAATTGCTCATTTCACTGGTCACTCCTGAGATAGCTTTCAAGAGCGTCATTCCAAATCAGCTTCATGTCAGGATGTCGCACGTATAAGACAAGTCTCACAAAATGTATTTAAATAGCCGCTCATACTCTCTGTAATGGTGGTCAGAATTTCGAGATATGTTTGCAGAGGAAAAGGAATGGCGCTTTATAATTTGGAACAACCAGGATATACGAGTAAACAATAAACCTGTTTTCTGTGAAAAGTATGTCACGTTCAGAATCCATTGAGTCAATAGCCCTCTTTTTGATCTTGATAACATTCAATCTTTCAATAGAGTGGCAAGAAACATCGCCAGACACAACATTTTAATGTGGACCGGCCAGCGCCACACAGCCTAAGACCGACACAAACTACCATCCTGTGATAACAAAGACTTCTTTTACATTCTCGAATTGTTTGTTTGATGTAACTAAGAAGAAATCGAAGGAATATTACACGCTCTTAGTAAGCACTAAAGCTCAATTCCTTAACTATTCTGCAAACTACTGAAAACGTGACTTCAACTTTACAGAGAATCAACTCACACAAGTTTACAGTCTCCCACACACTGTTACCTTCGAACCTTGCTGAAGAGCTTTTCAGTACCGACAAAGTCTTAAATCCTATTTTATATACGAACATGAAATTATTTAAGATAGGCTTTATTGAGGACGATAAGTGTACCTTCTGTAAACAAGAAGCTGAAACCCTCCACCATCTGATGTTTCACTGTTTCTTCTCAAAACAATTTTGGAGGCATTTTGAATCCTACTTCCATTCCATATCAAATCAGCAGGTTCGAATAAATCTTCGAGATGTGTTGTTTGGTGTTATCACTTCAAAATGTATCTTGCTCAATTACTTGTTAATCATACTTTCTGAGTGCCATTAGATATGTATATATTATTCATCGATTAATGGTGAACAAATGCACCATGCATTTGTATGATCCATAACTGTAATACTCACCATAAATGTTATAAAAATCAACCATAAAATTATAGTAATATCAACCATAAATGTAATAGAATTTTAATCATAAATGTAACAATTTGACTCACTATAAATGTAACAAATTTTAACAATAAATGTACAGTAATAAATGGGATTCCAATATCAATTGGTAATGAGAACCATTTATAAGGTAGGTTGATACATTGGAGGCTAAACTACACAAAATTGACTAAATAGGGAAGAGAGGTTAATCATTTGTAGTGCTACCAAAAAGCTATAACGCATTTCTGTATTGGTGGTTTTGTTCACGCAAAAACAGAGATACCTGCCACCCCTCCCCCCTTGCTCCTTCTGCCCAACAGACTGGAAATAAATAGGGTTAAAACAAACTACTGGCTAGAACTTACAGCTCACCGACGCAAAACGTCAATGTGCCATTAATGTGGTCAAATTAATTATTAAATTGAATTTGTTATGATTTTCATGAACGATTTGCACATTTGAAATCAGTATTGATCCTTACACAGATGAAGTTAATTAGTGTCAGACTGGTAAAATACACGAATGGCTCTACTAAGGCGTCATTCGAGAGGGTTAATTGAATATGAACCAGAATTTAGTAAGCTGGAAAGGAAAATAAAAGGCCATTTTTCCCCATGGGAAAATAATTAGAAACTTCACTTCACTCGCTCACTTGCCCATCGAAATGAAATCAAATTGATTTCAAATTCAGGAAACTAAAAGTATGAATGAGAGCTAAGGAGCTATATATTTTGTGTATACAGTTCATTTTTCTCGCCTTAGTTACCTCACCTGCGAGAGGTGAAAAAAAGAAAACAAGAGATCACAATAATAACACCAAGTGGAATTCTCGTAAAAACCACTCCTGAATGTTTGGTTTGAATTTGAAAATGATAAACAGCACTAATCTAAACAATGGGTTAACTAAGCAAACACTTTTAAACTCCATTTCAAAGAGATAACCAGTTTATTACATTTATAGTTAAAATTTGTTACATTTAAGGTGAGTCAGATAATTATATTTATGGTTTAAATTCTTTTACATTTGTGGTTGGTATTACATTCATGGTATGGGAAATTTTTAGTGCATTTATGGGTGATACAGCATTAACTGTAGGAATAGTGCTCCCAAGTATGAGGCAGTAAATCCTGCGTTCCTGTGGCAAAATTAAACCAAATATGCACGTTCAAATTTTTTAAATGCAACGCTACGTAATGGTCTGCCAAGATAGCTTGCAAAGTTATTATATGATTACGCTTCACTCGAAGCATACCTCGCCACAGTTCTAATTACCGAGAAATATAAATCACTTGGCTTAAACTTTCTCACAACTTTTAATAACATAACACATATGTTGTCTATATGTTAGAACATATAACTGAGCATTTTAGTTCGTAGTTACGAAGCCAGAACTATCCTACATACATCGCATCAAAATTCACTAAACACCGCACGACCATTAACCGTTAGGAATTAAGCTATTCAAAATAACAGAAATAAGTACTTATGTTTTGGCTTTTAACTCCGCGAGGATTCTAATGAAAACAACAAGCCATACTGTAAGATGTTTGAGTAACGATACTATTGGATCTTTATACGACTGCATCTCATTTGGTTACATGATTTGTTCAGCTAGTCTAGGATCTTCTACACTGCCGCCTGCTGGTCAGTCTCAACCTTAAGTCTGCGTCATTGCAACCAGCAATTCAAAATAAACATTTTGATTTTAAATCGTTTTCAGTGTTTTTCGTATCTCCACGTTCAATATTGTTCAGTCCAAACCCACAAAATCCTTACACAAACTGATATAATTTCTATTATCTATTCGATTTCAATGAAGCACGGACTGGGTTTGTTTCGTCATACAGAACACCGCATTCAATGACGGATTGTCTATAGAAATAAAATTCCGACGCCTTCAGCGTTTAATTTGGACACTCCGAAAAGCAACCCCAGTTTAAAAAAAAAAATTGCCAAGCCCTTGAATTGTAATCATAATATTTCCTCCACTACAAAATATCGAGAGTATTCAAGTAAGTTTAACCGAGTTCGCCAAGCGTGAAGCGTTTGTCACAATTAATGAAAGCCCTGTTTCGATATGATCGCAGACGATCGCAGATTGCAGATCGTAAACAGCCCTGCGATCATATGGAAACATACATGTGAGATAGCAGAAGATCGTAGACGATTAAACCATTTTCTATCTTCTGCGATCATTTGCGAATGTACGATCATATGGAAACCAGAGTTCTGTGCGATCAGAGCGCATCCCATCATCAGGCGCCTGGACTCAGCCACGAAATGGATCCTACGGGGAGCCGTGGAGTAAATAAAACCATGCCAATACAAACCAATTGTTTTCGCTCGTTGTGACCCGGGATGAGTCAAAGAATGTATCTGCTTAGACAACTTTAACTACCCGTTGAAACTACACGGGAGGTTTTCGAAACTATCGAACAACAGTGAAATCGAAATGGTAACATTTACCTTGGCGGTTAACGAAATTAGAACTTTTCGCAAAATATTTATCGTCTTCTCTTTCCTGAATTTATAAGAGTCGCAAGGGCAAGAGTTGCGCCGTTCCATTTCAGATGAAATAATTTACGGCACTAGCACAATTTCGTTATTTGCCGTGCCGCAGGCATATAGCTAACGGTAGCTGAGTTTGGCATAACAGAATTGATACTCTTGAACAACACTCTTGATTAAGGTTCGAAGAGAATCGCTAGTGAGACAGTACATGTAAAATAACCCATTTATTCCCAGAAAAAAA